AAAAAAAGAAAGAGAAAATCTTGAATTTATCCAGGGGAGCAAAATATAGACTAATAGGCAATGTCTCAACAGGGACATGGAGGCAATTTGCTTTAAGGATGAATATAAAATAAAGACATTTTCAGATAAAGAGAAAATGAAAGAAAATCCTAAAGGATATTCTTCAGGCAGAAGGAAAATAATCCCAGATGGCAGGCTAGAGATAGATAAAGGATTTAGAGCAACCAAAAGTCTACATTCATAGGTAAATCTAGATTAATATTGTATATGTGACAAAATAACTCTTTTAAGGATGCAAAATATGGAGGAATTTCATGGATTAAAAGAGGCTTAGAATGAATTAAATCATTACACAAGCATTGCTGAAAAAAAGGAGAGAAGTATCAATTCACTTTAGTATGAACAGCAAAGTTTTTCAGAATTATAAAAGATTATGTAACTTCTAAACTGAGAGAAAGAAAAAATAAAGTAATAACAATGCTTAGTCCAAAAGTAGGCAAGAGAGATAAAAGAGGAACATGAAATACCTGCAACAGAAAGAAACCACGTTGTTAAATATTTTTTAACTTCAGTACCTCTTGCTACTGTTCAAATGATGTGTCCCCTCCAAAATTCACGTAGAAATTTTATCCCCAATGCACCAGTATTAAGAGGCATGAACTCTGGGAGGGGATTAGCGCCTTTATAAAAGGGCTCAAGTTTGAAGGAAGCGATTTCTTATCCTTCCATTTCTTACACCAAGTGAGTACACACAATAAGGTGCATCCTGGAAGCAGCACATAGCCTTAGATGACACGGATCCTATTGGCACTTTGGTCTTGTGTTTTTAACTTCAAATTCTAATTGTTCATTATTGGCATTTGGAGAACAATTGACATTTTCTTTTTTGTGAAGCTGTGGCTGTAACCCAGGACCTCACTCAAGGCAGGCTGATGCTCTACCACTGAGCCACATCCCCAGCCCAACAATTGACTTTTGTATTTTAATCTTGTATCCTATAACTTTGTTATAATTGCTTATTAATTCCACAATTTCATTATAGTTGTTTCTGTGGGATTTTCAACATAGACAATCATGAGTTATAGTTATTCCTTCTCAATCGAGGAAATGCTCAATAAGTATTTCCTTTTCTTTTCTTATTGCATTAGCTAGGGCATCCAGTACAATGTTGAATAGGAATGGTGAGAGACGACATCTTGCTTTCCCCCAACTTGTTTCCCCTTATTAGATAAAAAGCTTCTAATTTCTATAATTCACATGTTAACTTTATTAACTTCAGGCCTTTTTTGGTGGGGGAATACTGGAGATTGGATCCAGGGGTGCTTAACCATTGACCCACATCCCCAGCCCTTTTTATTTTTTATTTTGAGACCGTGTCTCACTAAGTTGCTCAGGGCTTCACTAAGTTGCTGAGGTTGGCCTTAAACTTGCAATCCTCCTATCTCAGCCTCCCAACCTGCTGGGGTTACCAGTGTGCACCACCTCACCTAACAACTTTAGGCTTTTTATAAATGTTCTTTATGAAGTTGAGAAGTTCTCTTTCAACACTACTTCATTAAGAGTTTTTTTTTAATGAATGCATATTTGATTCTGTCAAATGCTTTTTCTGTATGATCATATGATCATATGGTTTTTTTTCTTTAGTCTGTTGATACTATAGATTACACTAATTGATTTTCAGATGTCAAGCGAGGCTTGCATACCTGTAATAAATCTCAATTTGTTGTAGCTTGTAATTACTTTTATATACTCTTGGGTTTTATTTGAGTCTATATTTTTAAGAGTTTTATGTCTATGGTCATGAGATATATTGGTCTGTAATTTTTTTTCTTGTGAAGTTATTATATGATTTTGTTATTAGGACAATGATAACTTCATAAGATGAATTAGGAAGCATTTATACTGCTTCTATTTTCTGGAAAAACTGTAGAGAATTAGTATCATTTCCTATTTAAAAATTTGGTAGGATTCACAGCTGAGTGTGGTGATATATGCTGTAAGCCCATCAACTCAGGAGGTTGAGGCAGGAGGGTTGGAAGTTTGAGGCCAGCCTCAGCAACTTAACAAGACCATGTCTCAAAATAAAAAATTAAAAGGGCTGGGGATGTACCTTAGTGGTAAAGTACCCCTGGGTTCAATCTCTGAAAAGTCCTCAGAAAAAATTGGTAGAATTCACCAGGGAACTCATCTGTCCTAGATTTTTTGGGGACATTATTAATTATTGATTTAACTACTTTAATATATATAGGCCTGTGTGTATTATTTATTTCTTCATGTGTGAATTTTGGTAGTTTATATCTTTCAAGACATTGATTCACTTGATCTAAGGCACCAAATTCATGGGCGTGGAGTTGGATCTAATTAACAGAGTCACTTTCTTCTTGGTTAGCCTGGCTAGGAGTTTATCAATTTTGTTAATCTTTTATAAAAACCAGCTTTGGGGCTGGGGATTAGCTCAGTGGTAGATCTGGGTTTGATCTTCAGCACCACAAAAATAAATTAGTCAATTAATTAAAAAAATAAAAACAAATTTTGCATTTCATTACTCCATTGATGTCCTCTTCTTAATTTCGTTGGTTTCTGCCATAATTTTTATCTATTTTCTTCTATTTGCTTTAGGCCTACATTGTTCTTTCTTTCCTAAGGTAGATGCCTAAGGGTACTGGTTTTAGATCTTTTTTTTTTATTACATTCAATGCTGTTAATTTCCCTCTAAGAACTGTTTTCTCAGTATCACACAAATTTTGATATATTGCGTCTTTCATTTTTCCATAGCTTTTATATATTTTTCACTTCTCTTGAGACTTACTGACCCATGTGTTATTTACAAATGTGCTGTTTAATCTCTAAATATTTGTAGATTTTCCAGTGATCTTTCTGTTATTGATTTCTAGTTAAGCCCATTGTAGTCTAAGAGCATACTTCACATGATGATTATACTTTTAAATATGTTAATTGGCTGGGCATGGTGGCACACACCTGTAATCCCAGCCTTTCAGGAGGCTGAGGCAGGAGGACTGCAAATTCAAAGCCAGCTTCAGGAAGCTAGAGAGGCCCTGAGCAACTTAATGAGACCCTGTCTCTAAATAAAATACAAAATAGAGTGGAGATATGGCTCAGTGGTCAAGTGCCCCTGAGTTCAATCCCCGATACCCCCCCCCCAAATAAATAAATAAAAATGGGCAGGGGATGTGCTCAGCAGTTAAGTGCCTCTGAGTTCAGTCTCAGATACCCCCCAAATAAATAAATAATAATGGGCAAGGGATGTGGCTCAGCGGTTAAGTGCCCCTGAGTTCAAGCCCTGGTACAAACAAAACAAAAACAAAAACAAAAGAAAGAAAATATATATATCTACATGGGTGTGTGCGTGTGTGTGTGTGTGTGTGTGTGTAGTGGTGTTTATGGTTTAGAATGTGCTCTGTCTTGGTGAATATTCCACGTAAGCTTGAGAAGAATAAGGATTATGCTTTTGTTGGACTAATTGTCAATTAGATTCAATTGCTTAATGATGCTGTTCAGTTCAATTACATTCTTACTAATTTTCTGCCTACTGTATCTATCAATTACTGATAGGGATGTTAAAGTCTCCATAATAGTGTATATGTTTATTTCTCCTTAAAGTTCTCAGATGTTTGCTTATTTGTTTGTTGGTTGGTTGGTTGTTTTGGTTTAGTTCATGATAAGAAGGCTCCCAGGCTCTCCAGACAGCCTCTTGTTTTGGGGGCTCAGGAGCTCCCAGTCCTCACTCCCTATATCCACCCAGCCCCTTCTACCCTGGTACCTAGGTACCATAGCCAACTGCAGGCCACCCCGACCAGGCCTCTTTCCAGGGTCCCCACTGAGTCAGGAAGAAGCCCTGAAGCAAAGGCCCTGAGCTTGGCCAAGAAGGGAGGACACGGAGTCAGTCTCTCTGGGTACCAAGGCGACCCTCTCGGGGACCTCAGAGAGGTTATCTGATGGATCTCTGATGCTCAGGAGACTGGTCAGAAGTGCCAGCCTGGGTGGAACCAGGAATGACACCACATGTGGTGCCTCCACCGCACTCCTCCCAAGAGCCCCCGTCACAGGTAAAGACACTGGAGCTTGGGGAAATTAAGGAACTCACTCAGGGGACACGAGTAGTCAGTGGCAGAACTGGGATTCACACCCAAGGACATGACTCCAGAGCCTGCTGCCACCAGACAAGCCCATTGGCCTTCTGACCACTCATTCTCACCATATTAGATGGGGGCAGTTCCTCTAGATGCTGCAGGGTTTTCCAGGACCCAGGAGTTCAGGCACTCAACAGATCCTGTCTACAGACAGGATGAATAACAGGCATTCACACAGGTCCTGAGATGAGCTGGACGGTGTCCCCCAAAAGATCTCCATCCAGAATCTCAGATTGTGAAATGACTTATTTGGAGTAAGGGTCTTCACAAAAGGAAGGATGTCAAGATGAGGTCCTCATGGATTAGAGCATCCTTGTAAGAAACAGAAAGAAGACAGACATGGACAAAGGGAAGGGCCACATGCAGACAGGGTTGGAGGGATGCTACCACAGGCCGTGGCAGGCCAGGAGCCACCAGACGCTAAGATGAAAGATGGAAGGAAGGATTGTCCCCTAGAGCCTCCAGAGGAATATGCCCTGCCACCCCTAGAGTTCAGATGGAAAGACTGAGTTCAAGAGAGGGCTGCAGAGAGACAGAAGATCTAGAACTCAGCCACCCAGGCTTGTGAATCATTTCTCCTCTCCAAAACCCAAAAGGTTTGGTGCCACTTGTGGTCCTTGTCGACCCACACAAAGATCAGAGTCATGCTCAGCCAGCAGGAAGTTTACAAACACTTCCTACTTTCCTCTTAGCCTCCCCATTTGGCAACATTAAGAGTTCAGTTTACACCCCGTGATTGTTCCAGAAAAAGCAAAAATTACTAAAGGCCATTGTGTCATGTTTGCTCAATCCATGCTACCTGACACCCTACTTTTCCACTTGCCACCACCCGCAGCCTCCTCTCTCTCCTCCCTCCAGAGCCTGATTTCAACATTCCTGACCAGCGTGGGATGAAGCAGTCAGATAAAAGCAAGACCCAGAAATCTGGTCTGCACTGAAGAGGTCTGCCGCTGAGCCAGCATTATGGTGTGGTCCATGATCTGGACAGGTACGTGTCCACGGAAGGGAGAGTGGGCTGGACCTCAGGGGCCATGGACCCCTCAGGAGGTGTGCATGGCCTGTGACTCCTTGCTACTGTCTGCCAGGAAGCAGGAGCACTCCAGAGAACTTTGGAAGGTCATTCCATTCATCCCCCTGCCTCTTGGCTTGTAGCGCCTTGATTACCTTTCCTGTGGGTGCTTCTCTTTCAGCTCAAGAGTCTTTGGCTTGCAAGGAGTGGATCCTTAACCGAGCAGAGGCCCCATAGCCTGCAGGGACAGAGGATCTGCCGCCCCCAGCCCTTCCCCCAGGCTCTTTCTGCCCCGGGCAGGCTTTCTTCTTTCTTTCTGAATATGTCCAATGTCAGTAGTTTTCCCAGGAGCTTCTTAAATCCACATGGTCCTCCACTGAGGCTCTGGAGGAAGAACCTTCCATTGGCTTCTGGGGCGATTCCTAGCCTCCTAGTGTCTGGCTTGTGCGAAAGGATGGACACGGTGCCCTTGTGGGTCTTTTCAGAAAGGAGAAAGCTTTATTTGGGTAAAACCAGGCCCCCCTGACCACCTGTACCACCCCTGCCCCCAGCGTGTGGGGCAGTGAGAATGACCATGTGACTTCTGCTTTCTCTCTGTTGCTCCAGGTGTGATGGCTCTGCTGATGACCCAGTGGGGTAAGTGGCATTTTTCTCAGGCCAGGCGTTGGCCCTCTCAGTCGCTTCCTGGATTCTGCTGCACCCCACCCTAGCCTCTACACACACACACCAAGAGCGCCTGCCAGATTTTAGAGGGACTGTCCTCCAATGCTCAGCCTTTATCCCCCTGACAGCCCTGTGGCTCCTTTGCCCAGAAGGAGCCTTCCCTCCTTACCCACTAACTGAACCCCTGCCCTGCATATCAGTTTAGGTGCCTCCCCACCAACTCTGAGCCCCTGGAGCTGAGGAACCCCGTCTTACCCACTCTGCCTCCTCAGCCTCTGAGTTCAGCAAGAATGACACACTTGTTCCTGTGTTTGTCAATGGCTCTGGAGTTTGGGAGAGGCAGAAGGGGACTCCTGTGTCACAGAAAAGAGGGGGAATTTTTAGCAACTCACACTCCCAGGTCTCCTTCCCATCCCACCCACTCCCTGCGCGTCGGTAGCCCAAGAATCTGGCCCCAGACCCCCATCCTGAGACTGTTCACCTTAAGCTGCTGGTGACATCAGATACACATTTTCCCTCTTGGTCTTACAGGAGGGGACCAGCAGGGGCCACAGAAATAACAAGTATGGGGAGGTAGGAATGCTGGAGACCTCTCAAACAGTTGGAGTCGAGCTGCTCTTGGTCTTTCCTGCACCATAACAAAAATAGTAGGACTTTGTGGCCAGCTGTGGTGGCACATGCCTCTAATTATGGACTCCCGAGGCTGAGGCAGGAGGATCTCAAGTTCAAAGGCAGCCTTAGCAATTTAGCAAGGCTTTAAGCAACTCAGTGAGACCCTGTCTCTAAATAAAATACAAAATAGGGCTGGGGATGTGGTTCAGTGGTTGAGTTCCCCTGAGTTCAGTCCCTGGTACCAAAAAAAAAAAAAAAAAAGTAGGACTTTGTGTAGACTCGAGTTAATTAATGCAAAGCACCCTGAACGGAGCTCACTGGGTGCTTTCTGGGGGTTCACATATGTGAACTCTTGGCCAAACAGATGTCCGATGAGGCACATTGTGTGTGAGGTACGATGGATACCATCTCAGAAGGAAGCCAAGTTCCATGACCAGTGACTCGCAGAGCTGGGATTCAACCCAGGGCTGGCATCCCAGGGTCCTGCTCCTACCTGCCACACTTGACAGTTTCTATCTACAAAAAGCCATACAGAGCATTCGCTGTAGGAGAGCAGGATGGGCTGACAGCGTCCCCGGCTCCCTCCTCGTTGCTCCGGGGACATGCTCTGTGGGTCAATCCCTTCCTTCTTCCTTTTGCTTGGGGGAATTCACCAATCCTCTTTCTAGATCACTGTAAGCTACACCCCCACTCTGTCACCCGCTCCATTCCTGGGTGACCTGTGTCAGGCCAGGGACCACCCCAGCTCCTCTTCCTCCTCTTCCAGGGCCATCCTGTGTCCAGGGTCGGGTCAGACCTTCTGCTCCCAGGGATCCAGTTGAGGCCTGAGCTTTCTCTCATAGTCACCTTGTACTCCACCCTCTCACAGGCCCCGGGGGGACTGGAGGGCGAGCTGAGAGGGACAAGGGAAATTCCTGGGTCTAAACATGGCCAATGTGCTCCTTCCTGTTCAAACTCACCATTCCATCAAGTCCCTGACACAGAATGTCCCCCATATATCCTGGAGCTCAGGACAGGAAGGAACCTCAGAGTCATTTCAGAGGGGCCTTAACCCTAAGAAGAGATGCCCATTGGTAGATGCAGGAATGAAGACAAGCACCCCTTCCCTCGTCTATCCTTCCTTTCCTCCCCCTCCCCCTCCCTCTCCACCTCTCTCTCTCCTTTCCTTTTTATCTTCTTTTTTTTTTCTTTTTTAATATCTAGGGATTGAACCCAGAGGCACTTTACCATGAATTCTACTCCTAGTCCTTTTTTTTTTAAATTATTTTGAGAAAAGTTTTCATTAAGTACCAAGGTTGGCCTCAAACTTGCAATCCTCCTACCTCAGTCTCCTGAGCTGCTGGGATCACAAGCATGTGCCACCATGCCCAGCAGCACTCTTGCTTTCTGATGTCCTAGTCCATCCAGCATAGGGCTGGCCTCTGAGGTGGCCATCCCCATGAGACTTCACTGGGAACGCAGACTCCCCTGCAAAGCCTTCCCACATCCCCCATTCTAGGGGATGCCAGGGAGACAAACTGTCTTTTCTTAGATAAAATAAGCTCATTAGTACTTTCACAGTGATGTTTATAAATGTAGATTCTCTCCCAGGGACATAAGTAAATGCAAATAGCTTTAATGCAACATTAAAAATAAATAAATAAATAAACCCTGACCTGTAACTGGGGCTTTCTCTCTGCTACTCCATGTATTTGCATTTTAACCAACACTCTGCAATATTCCAAACTGTGTTTAGTGAATTCTGCCTCCCTCCCTTGGACAGATCAATATGCCCTGTTTAATTCCCTGTGGGCTGGACATTGGGACTGCCTGGGGCTACCTTCTGTGACATTTCAGGCCCTGGAGGAGAGAGTGTAAATGGGGGTAGGGAAGCTTGCCCACCAGTCCCCAACCCTGGGGACTTGGGCTCTGAGCTTAGGGACTTCCAGGGATGTCAGGGGTCAGGACACTTCGGTCCTTAGACTGGGATGAGTCTGAGCTCAGGAGTCTCAGCTTCCACACAGTGAGATAAGGATGGTGGCCATGGTCCTGTCCACTCAGGTGTCCTGAGGGCCTGAAACTGGCCTCTGAAAATGCCTTCCTAACTGTGAGGTGCTGCCTAAGCAAAAGCAGGAGCGTCTCTGCTGGGACCCTCACTCTGGGCGTGTGATAGGCAAGAGCACTGTTTGCTCCCGGGTGGGGGTGGAGCTCCTGTTCTCAGAGGCCCTTCTGACAGTCATTTCTTGCCTTTGCCCCAACTGCTCAGGCTCTGCTGAAAAGCTGGTGTGCTACTTCACAAACTGGGCCCAGTACCGAGAGGGGGCGGCTCATTTCTTGCCCAAGGATGTGGACCCCAACCTGTGCACCCACCTCATCTATGCCTTCGCTGGCATGAGCAGCCACCAGCTCAGCTCCATAGAGTGGAATGACAAGACTCTCTACCAGGAGTTCAATGGCCTGAAGAAGATGTGAGCCACTGGGGAAGAGGGGTCACGGGTGGTGAGGAGGGCAGATACCTCCTCTCAGAGTCACCAACCTCCCCCATCACTGCCATAGAACTGCTGTGTGGCTTTGGGCAAGTCACATCACCTCTTTGGACTTTCCTGCACTTATATGGAAGAGGTGGGGGTGCCTTAGGGAACCCTAAAGGGCCCTTCCAGCTTGGGTCCAAGTAGGAGCTGGATTGGGAAACAGCTTCCCTCTCCCAGGCGTTTCCTGCCTCTGGGGAATGCCCCAAAATCAATGGGTCCTTCAATCCAAGTTCACTTTACAAAGCTGCTCTGAGGACCTCTGATCACTTGTTTCCTGAATTCCTAGTGTCTCCCCAGTTAGATAGGAGGTTCTTCAAGTCACAAACAATGTCTGTCTCTGCCACCCACAGCTTTCCCACAGTACAGCCTCTGTGCATAGGGACTTATGCAACCCTTCTCCCCTCCCGGTCCGTCCCCACCCCATCATCCCCACCAGGAAGCCCTGATGGGGTGGTGGTGGGGCAGATTTTCACTTATCTCTTGTCTTTTCAGAAATCCCAAGCTCAAGACTCTGCTAGCCATCGGGGGATGGAACTTTGGCACTCAGAAGTGAGTGGACTGTGGGCACCCGTGTGGGAGAGCCTCTGTAGGGGGACCTGGTGCACTGGCCAAGAGAGCACTGGTCAGGAAGTCCGGCCAGGCCAAAGTGTGTCCATGGTGAGGGGGGTTGAGCTTATAGGAACTGACTCTCCTTCTGAGTTCTTGGTGCCCCATTGGGAGGGCAGCAGACCGGGCTTGGCTACAGGTTGTCATCCACCCAGTCTTGCCAGAAGCGTAGGATCTAAGACAGCCAGGAGGGTTCTGACCTTTCCAGGCCTCAGTCTTTCCTTCCCTGAAATGGGGAGAGAGGATGCCAGCTGACCCCAGACGGTGTGCAGGGTGTGTATTTCTGAGCTCTGATGTGGGACAGCTTGTCCCACCTCTAGATATCAAAGGCAGTCCATGAGATGGAACTTGCATGCCAAATGATTGGCATTTCTGGGAAAATTTTGAAAGTCTATGAAGATAATAGTTAAGACAATATTTGGAACTAGACTTTTTCTAGAAAATTCAGAATTTGGGGTTCCCAAAGCTGTAAACGGTCTTCCTAAAGCTTTTTTGGATCATGAACCCTCTTGAGAATAAGATGAATGTTACAAGCCATCTTCCCCAGGTAATGCTAATACTGAGAGTTTTCATTGACACACGGGGTTTTCTTTTCTCCTCCCCCGGGCCTTTTTTTTGTACTAGGGATTGAACCCAGAGGCACTTAACCACTGAGCCACATCCCCAGCCCTTTTTAAATATTTTATTAGAGACAGGATTTCCCTAAGTTGCTTAGGGCCTCACTAAGTTCCTTAGGCTGACTTTGAACTTGAGGTCCTCCTGCCTCAGCCTCCCAAGCTGCTGGGATTACAGGCGTACGCCACCACACCTGGCCTACACACAGGGGTTTTCAATCCAGCGTCTCCAGGCATGTGGACCCCACCTAAAACATGCTATTAATTAAGCTAAATGACAAATTAATAAAAGTAAATTTAAAAAGGATCAGTTACAAGGAACTTTAAGACCCTCATGAAGTTCATGGATTCCTTAAGGGGCTGCTGAGGAAGGAAGATGTGGAGAAGGGGTTCCTGGGGTGGCCTGGGGGTTTCAAAGAGCTCTGGACTGTCATAGTCACAGCACGAAGCACTCTTCAAATGCCTGTTGGTAAGAAGAAAGGTGACCAGGTTAACCCGCCAGGGAACTTGGCTCACCTGGCTGCACTTCTCCCCTCCTCCGCATCTCAGCATGCCTCGTCTTCATGAGCTCTAGTGTATAGTAACGTCTGTGTGCCCTAGTGACACACCAGTGTGGGGGTAGGAAGCACTTCTATTGTCCCTTTCCCTTAACCACGCCTATAACCCCCCAGCAGAGCTCCCCAGTAGCCCCTGAAGCAGCCTTCCCAGACCCCCTCCTGGCTTTAGGCACCAAAGCATCAGCATCCTGAGGGGGTTTCACCTGAGGGAGATGGTGGTCTCCTGTTTGGCCCACACCTCCGCCATCACCTCACAGGTTCACAGACATGGTGGCCACAGCTAGCAATCGGCAGACCTTTGTGGATTCAGCTATCAAGTTTCTGCGCACGTATGGCTTTGATGGCCTTGACCTTGACTGGGAATACCCAGGAAGCCGGGGGAGCCCTGCTGTGGACAAGGAACGCTTCACAGCCCTGGTCCAGGTATGGCTGGTGGGCAAGGGTCACCCAGCCTGCCAGGGGATGCAGAGAAGTGGTCCCCCAGCCCATGAGTGCTGCTCTGGCTTCAGGGTCCCATGCTCAGACCAGCCCTGGGGTCAGTTTTCAGACTCCCAGGAGTGAACACCCACAAGGGCCCTCAGGGCCTGCTGGGCTTACTCTGAGCTGTCCCTGCAGGACTTGGCCAAGGCTTTCCAGCAGGAAGCCTCGACTTCAGGGATGGAACGACTCCTTTTGAGTGCAGCCGTCCCGGCAGGGCAAGGCATTGTGGATGCTGGCTACGAGGTGGACAAAATCACTCGGTGAGTCTCAGGCAGGTTACTGGATACGGGGGTCCATGTCTTCCTCTGCAAGATATGGCTTTGGGACATACAAGGTATTCTGGAAGGCTTTGCTATCCGGGTCTGCTACTCCACTATTCTAGGTCCTTCTGTTGAGATCTGTGCTTTCTTCCTGGGGACCTCAGTCTGAAAGTAAAAATGCCCCTGGGGGCGGGGGAGCAGAGAATGATGCCTTTAAGCAAATTCAAAAGAACGAGCATCTGGCTCCTGGCTCCTCTGTGGGGCCCACAGCCCCCACAACCCCTGGGAGCCTGTTAGAAATGTGGGTTCCCAGGCCCACCCCTGCTGAGCAAGCATCTGCATTTTAGTGATATTCCTGGGATTTTAATATGCATTAAAGTTTGAGAGACACCGAGCTAGACTCCCCTCCAAGATATCAAAACGGCATCAATTTTCCAGCGTGGAATAGGGAGGGCCTGAGGGTGCTGAGGGGAGGAAGGAGAAGTTTCCAAGACTCCAACCTCACAGTTAGAACAAAAATGGCCCCAGGGGCTAGGGGGAGTGGTTGGGGAGTGCTATCTACAGAGCTGGGGGAGCCTGCCACCCCCACCTCTGACCACAGGTCCCACCCCAGGTCATTGGCTGTGAAGGGAGAAGAGGAGAGGGACCCACCCTGATGCCTATCTCACCCCCTGTGCCTGTTCCCACACCTCCTACAGGAACTTGGATTTCATCAACCTTATGGCTTACGACTTCCATGGTTCTTGGGAGAAGGTCACAGGGCACAACAGCCCTCTCTTCAAGAGGCAGGGAGAGAGCGGTGCAGCCGCCACATTCAACGTGGTAAGTGGCCAGAGAGGAGAGGCAGGACTTCCCTGTGGGACAGGCCCGGTCCAGTGACCTTTGAACCTCAAGGTCCTGGTGGAAAATTAAAACAGGAAAACCAAGCAGAGCGCCAAGAAATCAGGATTGCTTGTTTGCTTGCTTTTTGTTTTTATTTTCATGTTCTCTGCCACTGCCAAGGGGAAGCCTCCCTTCCGTGCAGCATCATGGTGGGTAGTAGGCTTTCTTTTTCATTTTTCTTTCTTTTTTTTTTTTTTTTTAAACAGTTCACATTTTTTATTGGTAACAATAAAAAAATCTTTTAAAGACTATCAGTATTGTATTACCAAGAGTGAGGTAATATGTTTACAAAACATTCAGGGAATTCTGATATGCAAATAATGAATCTAGGAAAGTGAGTTAAGACACTAGTAATAGAAGGGAGAACCAACAGAATCATTGGAGCGTAAAAGGGAGATGACAGCAGCATTTCAAGAGCGGCAGGGCACGAGACGTCAAGAGATGCGCAGCTGCACAGGGAACCCTGTGCCCAATCCCTCACAAGACGAGGGGCCCCACGCTCCCGAGGGCCACCACGCTCCCGGGGGCCACGGGCACTGTGCAGTCCTATGCTGCTCTCAAGTCTCAGCGACACAGTCAGCTCTCTGGGGATAAAAGAGTGCCACTTCTGAACCAACTAAAAGGAACGTGTCTTCAGCCTGGGGTGGGGCATGGCTGCAAGTCAAATGCTCTAGAAACACCTCTGGGCACGTGTGGACGGGTGAGTGAAGCATTTTCTTGGCAGCTGTCAGCAAAATCGCCATCTGAGACAGAGAGACAGACAGAGACAGGAGAGACAGGGAGAGAGAGACAGGAAGAGAGAGAAGAGGGACCATCCTCAGGTCCTTGTAACTGGAGATGGGAAGCTCTGACAGCGCAGATGTGCTGGCCAGCCCTGCCATGCTCTGGGAACGAGGTTTCGGTGTCAGCGAGCTGCCTTATAGGGCAAGGGCAGGCGGGACCCGGGGGGTCCGCGTGTGCCTCAAGGTGCACAGGCACAGGAGCCAGAGGCCTCCTCTGGCCAGGAGCGGGGCAGTCAGTTTCTCCCAGGCTCACCCGACCTACTCATGGGGTGCACACTTGGCCTCCACACAGCTCTCTGGTCACATGGCCGCTCACCCAATGCCCAGGCTGAGTCAGAGCACCGTGATCTAGGACTGTGAAGGCTGTGTGGCGTGGTGCACATTTTAAAAACCCCTGCCACACAAAACACACATTGCACGTCTTTATCACACAACCAACCCTATGTGACTCCTGGACAGGTTCATAAATAACGTGCCTTTCTCATTAAAAATTGGTGAAGGGCGGGAAGAGGGTAAAGAGGCTTGGTAGTTGGAAATCAAAAAGAAAATGTAAAAAGCAAACCGATCTCATACTCGGATTTGCTCCCGAGGACTCCTTTGCGACTCAAACTGAGCTTCCAGCTGTCCACCTGCACCATCACCCGGCTGCTGCGCGCACCCACAAGCACCTGCACATGCATCCAGTTTCCACTTACAAACGCAAAGGGCTCCTACAGCCCCATGCCCTCCTTAAGTGACCCTGCTGGCAGCTAACACTCACTGCCACAGCTTCCAAACAGCAAACATGGCTGTTTCCAGAACACCCTCTAAAGAATGGCCGGAGCAGAAGTGGCTGAGCACAGCGAGCTGCTAGAGTACGCGGAAGGGGTGGCACTGAGCCCAGAGCACCCTCCCTGCAGTGGGAAGAGAGGCACCCAGAGGGAAAAGGGAGAACACCTCCACCCAAGTTCACAGAAAAATTCTACTCTGAAAAATATCGAAAGATTTGAAAAGGAGGAGAGAGAAAGCAATGTTTAATGATGGTGGCATTTTCCCGGAGTTGTGGGCGCCCCCAAGAACCCTTCCTGAGCCACCAGCCCCACTCAGGAACAGCAGCAGTTCGGCCCTAGGACTAGGTGCTGCTACAGACTGCCCGAGTCTTCCAGAGGAAAGGACTCGGGGGCTTCCCCCGGATCCACCAACCATCTCGACTAACAGGGAGCCACAAGGACCGCGGTGCAGCTTAGGGCAAGCAGCTGGGGGCTTCTGTTCCCTGGGAGAAGGTGGGCTTGGCTCTGAAGACGTCATGGGAAGTCATTCACTAATGGACAAGGTGGAGCTTGTTGGAAAAATTTTTTGCATCAATATTTGAGACGAAGTCAATCTCTTAACTGGCAATATAAACCATTTTTCTTTCGAGAGAGCCCTTGCGCTCTGGTTTGATTTTGTGCACGCTGTGTATAAAATCTATGGCTATCGAGTTAAGGTCAGGGTCAGAGTTAAGACTACCTGTCGACAGTTCTGGGACGGCGTGGCTAGTTTACCATCTGGATGGCTAGAGCTACCTAGAGGGCGAGAGGAGGCTGCTCAACGTCGGTGGGCGGCCGGCACAGTTGGCTGTCGAGGCGCGGCCATCCCCTCCACACAGTGGACACAGGCTTCGCAGCACTACCTGGAAATCATGGAGCTGGAGTGAGACTGGCTGGAGGTGGTGGTGGCGGCGCTCAGCTGGGAAAAGCCACTGTGGCTGGACTCCAGGCTGGTCATCGAGCCTCTGAAGTCCTCGGAGCCGATCATTTCTGTGTAGTACATCACTTTGCACTTGTGTGAGGACACCTGCAGGGAGGCCAGCACGTCGTCCACCCGGGGCAGGTTGGTAGCTGCACACGCCGGCATGCTGTGGAACTTCCACTGCAGGATGTAGAAGCCTGGCCACCTGGTCACATGAGAGCCCTGCACGCTTTCTCCTTCTTTGCAAATTAGGGGCGACTCCACCATGCTGTAGTCGCGGCCCAGCTGCCAGACCTTGTCAATGAGCTGCACGTTGTTCCCGCCTGGAGAGGTGATGCTGTGGGCCCCTAAGGAGTCCTTCTTGGGGGGCTGCGGAGACCTCTTGGAGTGATAGATATTAAAGACAATGTCGCCTTTGCACACGTCAAAATCCCAAGTGATCACAGAAGCAGCATCCACAATCTGAATGAGAATCTCGTGAGGGGCTCCTTTGAACACACTTGCAGACTGGTAGATGGTCTCGGTCCAGAGCTTCAGGTCTTCATTTTCCAGCTCCTCCGCAGTCCTATACAGAGATTTGGGGACCAGTCCACCCTCTGGCACTTCACACATGCACTCCCCGCTCAGGAAATCTGGAATGATCTCTCTGTCGATGTAGTCCAGCAGGCCGCCGGGGCCCTGGTAGTCATTTCCTGCGTAAATGAGGAACTTCCTTCTGGTGTTGTCATCAATGAATGGACTGACCAGCGTCCAGAGAACAGGGAAGACCCTGGGTGCCCGGAGGATGAGAAGGCGGCCCAGTGTCTCTGGGTAATTGGCCTCCACCACTTCGATGATTCGCAGCAGGGCTTTGACGCCAGGTCTCCACAAGTGGCGCATGTTCAGCCCTTCCAGGTCCACCAGGCAGGTCCAGGAACTGATGGGCCTGCCGAAGACCTTCGTGTTCTCTTCACAGCGCCTCAGGCCCTCTTCGTTTATGGAGAGAACGTATCGCAGCAGGGCTTCCTCGCCCAGGGCTCATACCAAGCCCTTGGTGTCCATCTGCCCCAGCCTGAGCACGTAGAGAGGCCGTCCGTCTTTGTCGTGATGGTGCCATCCTCCCGCGTAGTAATCCTGAAGCACCTGGGGTGGGGTCCAGGTGTCCAGGATGTAGTCCACCTGGTGTTGCTTCCGCCATGTTAAAGATTGACACATGATCTCTCTGGCCTTGTCGATGTTAAAATCCCGAGCGCGTAGGAACCGAAGAATATGCTCATCCTTTGGGATCTTGCCCTTGTGGGTTTCCTGGAGCCACTGGCGAAGCCTGATAAGGCAGCTCTCCTGGAGTGGGGTCAGGTCACCCAGATACCTCTTGATGTAATCGGCATCGAGTTTGTCATCAGGGGTTCCCACCGTGGGCTCAGGGGTCCCTCCAGGGTTGCTGAGGGCCTCTCCATTCAGCCCCTCCTTGAGGGCAGCCTCTGGGACCACAACAGCCGTGGATGCCACCTGACTCTTGCTGGACGAGGACGTCTCTGAAGAGGGCCCGATGGAAGGTGGGGTCCAGCGCGGCACGAAGGTGATGCCCTCTTCTTCAAGCTGACGAAGGTAGTACTCAATGATTTCCTTCCCTTTTTTAATGTTGCTGGTGTACTGTTTCATGGCAATTTTTTCTACTGTACTTTCAAAACCAAAGAAAGATTTGATGTCTAGACTTGCAGACTGTTCAAAACAGGTCCAGTCTTCGTTCTCAGGGTGAACGGTGTAGCAGCAGTGCTCGTTAATGATGACCCGATTGGAAAACGTTTCATTATGGGCCTCAATGTGCAGAGTGCGCTCCCGAGAATTGAGAGAGTTTTTCTGGACAAAATAAACATAATCAACTCCTGCAATCTTCTTCAACAGCCGGGGTGCGTCTATGTCCAGCTTGCAGCGCCTTTCAATGACGTGAATGGCCCCGTCTTCACTCTTGAATTCATTCACAGTGTCACTGTCCACAAACATGGGAATCAGCGGACATGTAGGGAACCTCCTTTCATAGGCAGCCATAATTAATTCAAAGGGGTGTTTATACACCCTCACTGGTGACTGGTATTTTTGCACCATGATTGTAGTACAATAGCAATCCTCTCACACCTGTCCTGCTGAGGATAATCATTAAGAATGTTATGTTGAATATGGTGAGAGGATATTCAAAAGTGCATAGCTGAATAGCCTCAAGGATCCCAAAGTCTAGCTCTTGTCAGAAAGGCCGAGCCCGGGGCGCGGGGCGGCGGGAGGAGCTCATGCCGGCGGCTCCGCGGTGCCGTCGCAGAGGCGGGAGCCTCTTTTTTATTTTTCTTATGCTGGGGATTGAACTCAGAGCTCTCTGCCACTGAGTACACCCCTAGCCCTTTTTAATTGTTATTTTGAGACAGGATCCCACTAAATTGCCCAGGCTGGCCTCCAACGTGCAATCCCCTGCCTTTCAGCTTTCCTAGTAGCTGGGATTGCAGGTGTGCACCACTGCTCCAGGCCCCACTCTGTATCCTAAAAGTCAAGAGTAGTCATATTATTTCTCTTTCTTAAACACACAGGACCACAAAAGCCTCAAAATGCCGTTTACTTTTGGAGAGCCCACACCTCTGCTTCTCAGATGGAGCGGGACATTTTTGCTGGTGGCTCTATCATGAAGCTCCCTCTGTGGGCTGGTGAGTCAGGTGTCCAGGTTTGACCCTGGGCCTGACCCTGAGTCTTGTCCCATCTGGGAAACCATGTGAGTTTTAGAGGAAGCTGTCCCTCTAAGGATCCCCCAGCATGGTGAGGAGACACACACAGACATTCAGTTCAGAAGCGAGTGAGCTCCAAGTGTTCTCTAGGTTTCATGCCCTGTGTGGAGGCAGGTCGGGAGGCCCTTTTCTTCCTTCTATGCACCACACTGTGCATCTGGGGATTGCTTCTGGTCAGAGGGGTGATATTTCCAAACTTGTGCCAAAGTACCATCTGCATTAGCAGGGTCTGTCAAAGATAAACTATGTAGACCAATAAAAAGAAGTGCACACCTAGAATCCCAGCAGCTCTGGAGGCTGAGGCAGGAGAATCGCGAGTTTGAAGCCAGCCTCAGCAACTTAGTGAGACCCTGTCTCAAAATAAAACATAAAAAGGGGCTGGGGATGTGTTTCAGTGGTTAAGAACCCCTGGGTTCAATCCCCAGTATGGGAAGGAAGGAAGGAAGGGAGGGAGGGAGGGAGGGAGGGAGGGAGGGAAGGAGGATCGATACAGTGAAACTGCCCCATTTCCTAAGTGCTGAGGGTGCAAGTAATGAGACCTGAGTCACCTAGAGCAGCTTCTTTGGGAATGTGAGCTGTAAGGAAAGAATCTTCACCAGTCATTTATCCAATGTGCTTCCATCTGGAACCTGCTCCTGTCATAGGCCTGGGGTCTGACATCTAGTAATTCATGATTGGGGGACAGTCTTGTTCAGAGGTGAGTAAGGAGGCTGCCTACACCATTGATCTATTTGAACATCCAAGTGCCAGGCATTGTCCTTGGCCCCGGGGAGGCAGAGATAAGTAAATAGCCCCAGTTCCCTGCTCTTGTGCTCAGGTGGAACTCACAGCTACAGTAATAATGACGACCGTGCTGGCTCCCCTGTACTGCTCTGTCCTTGACCTTGCCCCTGTGTTATACCCTTTAATTCACACGGTGCCCTTAGAGATGGCTGTTTTTATTATTTCTATTTAAATAAATTGCTGGGGAAGGCAGGGAGGGGTCTCTGTCTTCTTTGTTCACTGATGTACGCCAAGCATCTAGAACAGAGTGGCCCACAGTGGGCCATCGATCAATATTGACGTGAATGTTGTCTGGCTCCAGAGCCGTGCTCTTTGGCTCTCCTGCCACCCAGCTTCTTTCACGGGGCCGAGGGCCTGAGACAAGATCTGAAGTAGATGGTCAGGTTTGGAACACTGCTATAGACCCTGGGATCTCCAGCTGAGGAGTCTCTGCCTCCAGGCCCTTTCTGGGACCCAAAAGAACCAGGCCAAAGGCAGAGGAGATTAATGGGCTCCTCCTTCTCCACCACCAGGATGCTGCTGTACAACTGTGGCTGCAGAAGGGGACCCCCGCCAACAAACTGATTCTTGGCATGCCCACCTATGGACGATCCTTCACCCTGGCCTCCTTGTCAGACACTGGAGTGGGGGCTCCAGCCACAGGGCCTGGTGCTCCCGGCCCCTTCACTAAGGAAGGAGGGATCCTGGCTTACTATGAGGTAGGAAAACTCATAACTACCCTGAGTATTTGGGGGGGAGGGGCATGCCTGGGAACTAGAGGGCTGCTTCCCCCACAGTTTGAGTAAGGATGCAGGCACAGAGAACTCTGGCCTGGTGAATTCTATCCTATCCCCACCATCTTTGATTTATCCTTAAGTCCAAGTGCTAAAAGATTAAATTCATGCTTCCAGGTCGCTCACTCTAGAAGCTCCTATGTTCTCCAGACTTCCTCTGACAGGAGTTTTCCAATCTCTGGCCTCCTCCTTGGAGGGAAGGGCAGGCACCTGCCGGGGTCTCCCTCCTCCTTCCCAGCACAGCCTTCTGTTCCTGCAGGTGTGCTCCTGGAAGGGGGTGCATAGAATCGAGGACCAGAAGGTGCCCTACGTCTTCCAGGACAACCAGTGGGTGGGTTTTGGTGATGTGGAGAGTTTCAAAGCCAAGGTGAGGCCCAGCCCTGCTGGGAGGGGGGATGTCCTGGGCAGACCCCAAGACCTGTCAGTAATATCATATGACAACATCCAGAACCTCTTCAAGGACGAATCTCCTTGTCGATGTCCCAATGTTTCACAAATCCCCATGGGATAGCATTTTGTACCTTTACCACCTATTGATTAAGGCACAATGAAAAAATCTCCCTACATGGATCAGCTCTCTTAAAAGGATTTGGATTTTATTAAATACAACCAAATTCTGCAGACACATGAAGAGGAGATATATGCATAATTAGGCCTATGATTTTATTCAGTCCATGGAAACATTTGGAGCATGTTCAAACCATGGGCCTTGGTTTACCTATAGGACCCCTTCCTCCTGCCCAACATGTTTCCAGGCCCCTCTCCAGCTGAGACGTGAGCTACTGAAGAGGACACTGCTTGTCCGCATATCCCACGTCAATTATGATGTAGAGTTGACAGAAGCAAATTCTTCTAGGAGTAGACAGACAAAGTACTCTGGGAGATTCCAGGGGGGAGTGGGTCACAGATGGCAGAAGGGATGTGGTGGCAGGTGCTGGGAGACAAGTCCTGAAATATACAAGGTAGGCATTCTTGTGGGACATGGCTGAGATGGGAGGGGAGGTGGCTGGAGAGTGAGTTGAGGCCAGCAAGGGTTCAGACCAGCCCCCAGCCACACTCCAGGGGTGAGCACCCTGCCCCCTGGCAGGTGAGGGGATAGGGAAGCCCTCTCTTCTAGAGAGAACAGCCATACTATGCTCCTTCAGGAACCTCAGGGAGGGCAAAGGTATGAACTGGCAAGAAAACTCCATGCAGACTTTTCGGGAAGCTTAAGCGTTTTCTTTGGTACCTGAACACATCACAACCAGGAGCTCAGCCCGAAATGACCAGGATGTTGAGGCAGGGCCACCCACCATCACCACTCCTCACCCCTGCCCCCAGGCCCTCCCAGGCCATGCTTGTGCCCAGTAGGGTCAGGTCTCAACTACCCAGGCCGTCACCCCAGGGCCATTTCCAGAAACCCCCACTGCCCATAGGACTGAGGGTCCTGGGCGCCAAAGGCCCTGGGTTCTGGGACTGGCCTGGCTGGCTCCTGCACTCCCATCCTCCCCGACGTAGGTCAGCTATCTGAAGCAGAAGGGACTGGGCGGGGCCATGGTCTGGACCCTGGACTTGGATGACTTTGCGGGCTCCTTCTGCAACCAGGGCCAATACCCCCTCATCCAGACCCTGAGGTGGGAGCTGAGTGAGTAAGGGGCCGGGGGCCAGAGGGGGGATTCAGAGTGGGTTACAAACCCTTGCATCTCAAACCACAGGGGCTGGGCCCTTCTGAGAAAATGACTGGGCCCCAACATTGTGATTTTGCATAGTTCATGCAACCCTGGAGCTGAGGAGACAGTTGAAAGGATTTTCTTTTTGCACTCTCTCTCCTCTTCCTCTTCCTCTTCCTCTTCCTTGCTGTGGCAATGCCTGCCAGGGTGTTGTGACAGGGCTTCCCTCCACAGGCCCTCATAGGGCCCTTGTTCTTCTCTTGTCAAGAGGAAAGTCTGTGCCCAGCTGCTGTGTGGGACCCCCGGAACCCCTTGTCAGTATACAGTTGGCCTTTGCAGTGGTATATGGCTGTTGAGTGCCATTACATGTGCAGCCCAGGTGTGGTCTGTTGAGCTGTGCCCAGCTCAAGGTGTAGCTGTGCTCCACCTGTGGGGTGTGGAGTGTTGGGTTCCTATAGCGGCTGCCTGTGTGCTCCGCCTGTGGGTTTGAGATTTTTTGACTGAACCTTAGCTGAGTTTCATTGTCTTCCCAGGTCTTCCATATGTGCCTCCAAGGTCCCTAGAGCCTGGAGTTCCTGCACCAGGTCATCCCTCTGAACCTGAGCAGAGCCCCAGCCCTGGAAAAGACAACTTCTGCCAGGGCAAACCCAACGGGCTCTACCCCAACCCTCAGAATCCGTCCAGCTACTACAGTTGTGCAGAGGGTTGGCTGTTCCAGCAAAGCTGCCCCCAAGGCCTGGTGTTCAGTGCCTCCTGCAAATGCTGCACCTGGAAATGAGTCCCTAGGACCCATCCAATGCCATGCCAAAGCTGGGGCCCGGGATCACGTCTCAGCCTGCCTCGCTGTCTTTCTTAGGGCCTCCCTGTGGTCTTTCCATAACCAGGCTTCCTGCTGACTGCCTTTTCTTTTCCCTGTGACTTCTGGATTGCGTCTTTTACTTGAAAAATAAATATCTAATTTGCAGCCCTCTCTCCCCAGATGTGGTGACTCAAAGTGGTTCTTAAAGCCCACTGTTGATTCAGAAACTGCCCTGGGGAGGCCAGTGGGGAGGGGGGCATAAGGCAGGCCAGGTCAGAACAAGGTGGGAAGACAGTCCGTTTAGGATGTGTGAACTCCTATATATCAGGTCTCACCTCCATGAACCCACCTTCAGTTACCCTGTTACTGGAGCCTAGGCCAGAGGCTGCTGGGGTCCCAACTAACTGGATTTGGTCACCTACCTACATCAGAAACGAGAGAGAAAAATATAAAAAGGAAAGATGAATTTAATCACAGTTTGGTTCAAAACTGGGAATACAACTAATATGGCTTGGCCTTCCTACAGAAACATTTTGATTTATGAGAACAAAATGTCAGGAAATATACATATGTAGATTCAACCGGGCTCAGAAGTCTTTGGAGAAAGCACTTTTTCTGCTGACCTCCACTAGGGTGTTATTCCCAAGATAAACACTAGATGGCAGCAGAGAAGAGCGTTTTGCAGCTTAGGTGCTCTGCTTGCAGTCGCTTTGCGTTAGAGGACGAATTGACTCCCAGGACCAAGTGCTGGCTTTGAAATAAACCCTTCACATGTCTCATCTCACCTACTGCTCCCATTCTTTAGATGACACCGGAGTAATCATTTTCCTTACCGTGTAGGTATTTAACTGTAGGTATTTAACTGTAGACTGATTCTAACCTGCTCTGAGTCTAGAACAGGGGGAGGCCTCAAAGGGGCCAAGACAGGCCAGAAGAGCAAGCGCACACAGCATCGCTGAGTAAAGAGTAATCTAAATACCCCTTGTAGCTTTGGGTTGTATCTTGGTAGTTCTATTTGAAGAAAAATTGCACATAACCTAATAGTCCAGCCTGTCACTCTCAAAGCTGGTTTTGGGGTGAGGCACAGGTGCACAGCTGAGACGAGGAAGTGACCAGGTCCCTCCCTTGAGTGCACTCAGCACTAGATGGCCTTGACAAGACCTTCTCCACTCCTCTGCCCTGCTCTTCTGCTGGCCAGAGCAGGCTTTTTACACCCATTCCCATCCTCTGCGTTCTCAACCAGAAGGGAACAGATCACATCTACATCCCAGTAAGAGCTTTCTAGCTGTTCCCAGTAAAGTCCAGTGGAGGGTTTCTTTATGGGGAGTGCCTGAGCCCAGGGGGCACAGGGGAGACTTCTGTCTGATGGAGCCCTGTGGCTCTAGGCAGAGAAATCCACTACTGTCAGATGGGGCCGTCCTCCTCCCAGGGTGGCCGTGAGGACTGAAGGAGTACTGTATGCCTGACGGGTGGCCAGCACTCCCTCTTTGCCTCTTGGCCCTTCCCTTGCCTTCTATGAGCTGGATAAGTCAAGATTTAGCATAGTCTAGCAGAATGAGGCCTCTACAATTGTCCAGTTAGCCAAAGTCCCCCTGAATACTGACTCTTGCATCTGCTCCAATTTTATCTTCAGGAAGTCTTGTCCACAGCCCCTGCGCCTCCCCAAACTCACAGTCCTCAGCTGGTCACCTTTCTTCTAGACGTGGCTTCTCCCTGGATTCTCCACTTCCTGATCCTGCCTCCTCCCATCCAGCCTGCACACTGCAACCAGCTGACTCTTTCTAAATTAGGGATTCAGTCCTGTCACTTTCCTTGCTTAAAAACTACCAACGGCTTCCCCCCACCCAAAGAATAAAGTTCCTATGTCTCCTGTCATCCCCACTCCAATGTGGTCCCCTGGTGCCCCAGCTATCAGCATGGAGCTCAGCCACTCTGACTCCTAATGTGGAACCCCCAGTTGCTGCTGTCACCCTGTTAGCTCAGGCCCACCTCATTTCTTGAATGAATCCTCCTGAGATAGGAACAATGACTGCGCCCCAAAAGCCATCTGTGCTAGACTGCATCCCTTCTGCCTCCAACATGGCCTATGGGCCCCAAAAGTTCTCTGGGTCTTCCTGCTCTAGTTCAGTCCTCTCAGCACAGACCAAGTGTCTGTGACATGCCAGCCTGATGTTTGGTGGACACAGCTGGACAAGAGTCAGCGGCTCTGCTTTCCTGGGGCTGCCATGCTATAGAGGGGGGACACCCACAGTAAACAGGTAAAAAGTGAAAAAGGGGGGGTGGGGGAACAGTGGCACACTGTGCCTTGAAAGCACCCTCAATGGGGGTCCCTCCTACAGTCCAGTGCCTGTAATCATAGCTCCATGCATGTCTCCCAGAGCATATCTGTCCCCAGTCCCTAAGGTCAACAGTCACCTTGATTCCCACCTGATCAGTGGCCTTTTAGTAATAGCAACTGAGGTCAGGGTTCCTAGGTCACTGCTCCTGGCCAGTGTGACCTCACCTTCAGAGTCAGATTTTGGTGACTGCTCTGCTCTGGTGCCCAGGGCTCTGCATGGTCCACTCCTCATTGCTCCAGGCTGCTGCCTGGAAACCACATGCATTGTAGCCATATCCTGGGTGGTGGGTGTGTCCCAGTGGATCCCATCCTTGCTTGAGCATCTGCCTTTCCTGTTCTTCTTTTCCGCACCAGACTTCCTCTAGTCACCTTCAAAAAGTCAGCTCATGGGTTGCCTCCTACAGGACACATGCCCTTCTTCACCGGCAGCACTGGGCCAGCCCACTTGCTTCTGCAGTTATCTGGGTGCAGGCTACAATCTTCCCCCTAGTTTCAAGCACCTAAGGGCAAGGACAACATCTTAGTTGGTTTTTTCCTTTCCATGACTCATTTGAGGCTCAATAAAAACAGAACCATTCCCTTTCTGATTTTCTTCTTCTTCTGTCCTCAGGTGCAGAAATTGGTTCTGTCTCCAGGGTAGAGAATTTCCAGACTTAAGTACTTATCTCATTTTGTGAGAAGATTACTACTTTCCCAAGCCTTTCTATTGAATATCATTTGCCCTCTTAATGTTAATGTCCAGTCATTAGGAAATTAACATTTCTTGCATGACCAGGGACCATACTAGCATCATTTGGCATGCAATAAATATTTGCTGAGTGGGTGGTCAATGAATGAACCCATGTGATTTACTCCTCACTGTGTCCCTCCAAAGTAAGTATCGTGATCTCATTTCCCTCCAGTTAAATGGGCAATATCTGGCAAAGCAGGATTGAGAGGCTGGTGTGAATGAGACCCATGCCCAGAGCCCCTTCCAGAACACTGCAAGCTTTTCCTCGCTGAGTTAAGGTTGTGTTCATTTTGTTTATCTCCTCAGACCATATATTTTGGATATTTCTGCTGGGCCTGGCCACGCCTCAGTGTGCACATTAACAAGTCCTTGACGTCAGTCCTGTGGGATCAAACACACAGAAACCAAGCCAGCAGTGGAGCAGGGCTGCAGGCCCCCCATGGTCTCCATTACTCTCCCCCCGCCTTGCACCCTCCTTTATGCCACAGATATAATATCTAATTTCATAGTTTGGCCATGAAATTTAATAATGCTTAAACCAGTAAGCATTTCCTGAGCATCTGCCATGTTCCAGGAGCTATGCTGGGTCAGAGTAGGATGCAGATGAATCCTGCCTCACCGCAGTTCCAGCTGCTGGTGGGGCACTCCAGTCCTGGCATCGCCAAGGGACGGGAAGGTGGCCTCGAGGGAGGGGGTGGGGGCTTCCTCACGAACACTCTGGAGCTGCAGGCTCATGAGGATAATAAAGCACAGGCCTATTTTTAAATTCTCCACATATAGGGCGCCCCTTTGCTTCTAGCTGGTGTGGGTTTCTCACTCTCTTCGTGCAGGACAATCCCCTTTATTAAGCTTGGGCCCCAGCCACAAGCAAAAACCACTATTTAAACAAGACTTTCCCTTACCACCCACAACACTTGAACATATTAGTAAGGTGATGCGACCTAGTGTGACCTTTGAAGACAGGCACAAAGGCTGATTGAATTGTTAGGATGTGCTTGACTCAGAAATACAGTTTGAAAGGAATGCGGGGGTATTTACACTTTGGTGGTGTCCCCAAGAACGTCCAGCTGTTCTCCCTCATGGTGATGACACTCTTTGAGGTCTCTGAGGCCCTCTCCCTAAAAGAATTAAACACCACATCTGATGCTCCTGCTAGAACCCCAGGCAAATTTCCCTCTGACCCCCACAACCTGTCAGATGAGGGACCCAGCTCTCTTGGCCACCTGCAGGCTACCAGAGGGTCTCTCTCTGATTTCTAAATGGACCACACCCTATCTAGAGCTGAAACTCTTTATTATTTTTTATTTAACTCCAATTATAAATATATCACATATAGAAGCATGTTCAAAATATATATGTGAATGGATCCCATAAGCCTATGGCTCAAGTAGGACGCAGGACACTACTAGCACCTTGGAAGCCACTAACATGCCCCTCCCTGGTCCCCTCCCTGATCCCTCAAGCTACATTTTGGATTTCACTCTGTTGTTTAGTTTTTCAAATTTTGTGTACATTTCAAAACACGCCACAGTTTAGCTTAGCCTGCTTTGACAGCTATGTAAATAGAGTTACACTGTGGTGTCTCCAGCAGCCCAGTCCTGTGCTCCTTGTAGCTGTAGCTCATTCTCACCTTGAACAGTGTTCCATCACCCGAGCAGGCCACCGCTGACACGTTCCACTGTGGCAAACAGTCATGTGGGCAAACATTCCAGTATGGGGCGAATGCAGACAGTACTGTCCTGAACTCTCCTGAATGAGGTCCTGGTGCATCTGGGAAGGATTTGCTAGGAGTGGAATTAATGGGAAGTGGGTGTGGCCGCGTTCAGCCTTACCACGTACAGGCAATGGGTTTTCCCTCAGTGGTTGTGTAAGTTTTCTCCCATTTCTCTTGGGACTTATTCTCCCCATCACTACATCACACCTTCCCCAATCAGGTGTGATGGCATTTTCCTGAACCCCAGCAACTCCAGAGGCTCACGCAGGAGGATTTCAAGTTCAAGGCCAGCCTGGGCAACTCGGCAAGACCCTGTCTCAAAATAAAAAGGGCTGGGGATGCAGCTCAGTGTAGAGCACCCCTGTGTTAAATCCCTAGTACTGCGCGACACACACACACACACACACACACACACACACACACACACCCTATCTTATCCAAACTAAGGAATAAAATAGTTCCTGGGTTTAAAAACAAAAACAAAATAAAACAATAAAGAAAACTTTCTCTAGTCTTAGGTCAAATGACATTCTCCTATATTATCTTTTAAGTGATTTATGGTTTGTTTTTCCCTTTACCTCTTTAATCCTTCTAAAATTGACATTTGAGTAATGCTGGAAGGTTAGGATCCAATTTTACTTTTCCCCAAATGGATAAACAGTTATTCCAGCACTATTTAGTGAGCAATCTATTCTTTTCATGCTAACCTAACCTGCAATGCCACCACTGAAATAAGAAGTTTCTATATATGCACGAGTAACCTTTTTAGTCCATTGGTCTACTTTTCTTTCACTGCCTCAGTAACTCACTGTCTTAATTACTAAAATTTTATAACAAATCTTAATGTCTAGTAGGGCAAGTCCTTTTACTATGTGCTTAGTTTCAGAAATGTCTTGGGTACTTTTAGCTTATTTTTTTCATATTTATATTAGAATCATATTGCTAATTTCTACTAAAAATTCTGGTCAAGGCTGAGGCTGTAGTTCAGTGGTAGAGCACCTTCGTAGCATGCATAAGGCCCTGGGTTCATGCACAGGAATGTGCACACCTACTCCCTCCCCCCACACACACATACACATAGACACACACATACACATAGACACACACACACACATGCAAAGAAGAAGAGGAGAATAAAAGAAAAAGATTCTGCTCAGGTTTTGATTAGAATTGCATTGAATCTATGGTTTAATCTATGGGTTAATTTGGGGAAGAATCAACATCTTTTTGATATTGTGTCTCCCTATGTAAAATCATGACATATTTATTTTTTTGGGGGGGTTACTAGGGACTGAACTCAGGGGCATTTTACCACTGAGTCACATCCCCAGCCTTATTTTGTGTATTTTTTTTAGAGACAGGGTCTCACTGAGTTGCTGAGAGTTTCACTTTTGCTGAAGCTGGCTTGATCCTCCTGCCTCAGCCTCCAGAGTTACTGGTATTACAGGCATGCACCACCACGCCTGGCAGACATATTTCTTTATTTAGTTGTCTTCTTAAGTAGATTTTATTTATTTATTTTTCTTTTTTTAAAAAAATTTATCTATTCTAATTTGTTATACATGACGGCAGAATGCAATTCATTTTATGTGACACATATAGAGCACAAATTTTCAAGTCACTGATTGTACACAAAGTATTTTCACATCATTCATGTCTTGATACGCGTACTTAGGGTAATGAGGTCTAACTCATTCCACCATCATTCCTACTCCCTTGCCTCCTCCCTTCCCCTCCCTCCCCTTTGCCCTATCTAAAATTCTTTTATTCCTCCCTACAATAGATTTTAATAAAATTGTTTGATACTATTCTTAAATATCTTTAAGATTATTAATTATTAGACTAACTCCTAAATCTATTTTTATTTTTGATTACTACTGAAAATTGTATCTTTTGTAAAAGCTAAAATTTCTAATTTACTATTGCTGTTGTATGGTGACTTTCATCTAATGATGTTGAATCCCATTATTTTCCCAACTCTATTATAAATGTTGATGATTATTCTGCAAATCCTGACAAGTACTCTGTGTAGACAACCATAGAACCTACACAAATAAGTTTTCCTTCTTGCATTCCAAACCTTAAACTTGTTGTTTATTTTTCTTGCCAACTCCACTAAGACCTCTAATACCGTGGTAAAGGTAAGTAGTGATATGGGCATCTTTGCCTTGTTCTTGACCTGAAAGATAATGCTTTCAATATTTCAGCATTAAATATGCTATTTATTTTGGGTTTTTTGGAATTAAAGAAGTTTCCTTCTATTCCTGGTTTGCTTAGAGTTTTCATAAGAATGGATGCAAATTTCATCAAATATTTTTTATTTATAGATTTTTGCTTTTATTCTATTAATAAAGCAAATTATATTAATCAATTTCCCCGATTAAATGCATCTTGTACGCCTAGAATTCATCCAACTTGATCATGATACATATCTTTTTTGTACATTGCCAGATTAGGTTAATATTTTCTTTCACATTTTTCCATTTATTAATGAGCAAGAAGGGGGTGCAAGTTTGCTTTCTTACACTCTGGGGTGTCCTTGCCACACTCTAGGTTGAGCTGGGTGACCCGTTGGCCACCCCAGCTGTTGCCCAGGCTGATGATAAACTGATCTGGGGTATCAAGGTTCTGGTAGCCTCATAAAAACGAGCTGGGGAGTTTGGCTCATTCCATTTTCTGACAGTTGTGTCTAAAGGACTTATCTGTTCCTTGAACATTTGGTAGCAGTCATCGGTAAAGCCATCTTGGCTGGCTATTTCTGAGGATGACTTGTAACTGAGTCAATGTCTTTGGTGGCTACAGGATCCTTGCACTTTCTATTTTTCCCTGAGTAGGTGTGGAGCTGAAACTCTTGTCCCTCTCTAAGCAAAAGATCTTCTTGTTCCTCTTGTTTTACTCAGAACTCAGTACCTCTGAGTTCCCTGAGTAGGAGCTCCCATTTGAGATAAAGATGGAGAGGTTTCTGGTTATCTCTTCAGTCTGACCCCATCTCCAAGAGTCTCTGAAGAAGACTGAGTCAGATGCCACAAACCAGCAGCTTCCCCAGAGGTGACGGC